TGTCAGATCAAAGGTTTTTTCTTTGTGTTAATAATTAATGACAAACTAAGTAGTGGAGTAATTTCATAAAACAGCACGTTATTGCAGAGGCCGGGAAGTAATGAATTGCTGGACGAGCATGAGTTACAAGGACGAGCGCCAGGGAGGTCTTTTATTACGAATCAAGCAAACCCTGTTCCCGCCGAGGCATGAGTTTTTCTCAAACAATGCGAGAAAATAATGAAATACTAATAAAGTAAAAAAAAATAATTACCTTAAAAATGTAAACAATACAATAGCTAAAAGAAAATCTCTCTGATAAACTTCTGAAGGTGTGTTAGAATGTATATCTTATTACTTCTTACTTGTATTATTATTACTCATTTTCGCGACCAAAATACAAAAAAGACGAAAAAGCAAAAGAATACCAAAACAATTTAGTTTAAGTGTTACCAACATTTTCTTTTTTATTAAGTAAGTAATTAAAAATACCTATCTGTACCAGATAGGTATGCTGGGCATTTGGCTGTATGAGTTTTTCTTTTGCCTGTTTGCATAGTTCATTATAAGCAGGTACATTTAAAAGTTTACGAGACGTGGACAGTAATGGATTTTCATGCTTATTTTGCAGGCTTTGGCCGGGAAGAAGTCACATGGTCCATAAATGACAAACTTTCCGTGTTCGTTTTTTGGAAGTAATGCAAACATTTCCGAGCATGTTTGAGAAAAGTAAATTAATATCATTGTTATAAAACGTCATAACATTCATTACAATACCTTGTCATAAACAATGCATTTGCATTTTGGAAACTTTCGACATATTGACACCGACGACGCGCGTATACGCGGCGTAGACGCGCTGTAAACGCGCGTATGTTAATAAAAGATAGTTTTAATTTTAGTTTCGTTATATGCAGTCAATTTGTGAAATGAAGTAACTACAGGAAATTCTAGATAAGCTTCTTGCTTGCAACGCGATGTTTGCGCGCGTTTGAATCGATCTCCTATAGAGCGTCTGCGGCGCGTATACAAACAGATTACGCGTGTTTACAGCGTGTATAAAATACGCCGTATGCAAATGCTCTTAAAGTTATTTTTTCTATTACGCCGATTTTGTCTAACAATAAAACTGAACGGTCATTTTCGTTGTGTTCACTGCCTAATTTCCGTAGCAATTTTTATTATTTAAATATTCAAGTATATTAAAGTACAAAAATATTTCACGATACAAAATCTAATACTCAAATATTAAAAATTGCCATCGAAATTAGGTAGTGAACACTAGTCCGAGAATGACCGTGAAATTAAATGACATATAAAAAAACCGTTGTAGATCTCGTTTCATTAATTCCAGATATGTTAAGCAATTTCCCTAAAAATGAAGATTATGATAAGAACGGTATGCTGGTGTAAAATCTCGCACTATTACGACGGATTATTGAAATAAAAAAATAAAAACGAAAACAAATAAAACAAATAATATCGAGTTCTTAGATTTTCGCGATTGTTACACATAGGAAATGAAACTATTTTACCGAATTCAAATCGCGTATATTTGTTTTTTCAAACAAACCAACGTTTCGGATTTCAGTCAACCGTGACCATGGGACCCGTAAAGGGCCCGAAACGTTGGTTTGTTTGAAAAAACAAATATATGCGATTTAAATCCGGAAAAATAGTTTTATTTCCTAAAACCAATAACTTTATAACGAATGAACCTAAGTCGTTGCTGATTACTTTCAAATGTGTGTTATTTATGATTTCATCGAATAGCAACAACTAATAATTTTCAAATATTGTAAATTATGATATTTTTTTTATGTTTATCCGGACGAAATATACGTCGTTTTCAATTTTTTTTTGGTATCTGAAACAAATTACTAATAATACTTCTCACTGGAGTTTTTACTCTTCCATTAAATTCAAAAAATTGGGGTTTATAAAACACTGTGCGCGGCAGTCATTGACTTACAAATAAATGGACGACGGGTCTAATACACAAATCACGAAAAAAATGTCCCAAGTCAACCTATTTAAACGTAGTGACATGTAAAGGAATATGAAAAAGCTAAAACAATTGTAATGTCATCGCAGTACTGTCTAATTTTGCTTGCTTCGCTGTCAGTCGAACAAACGAAGACTAAAGCGTGAATGACGCTCTGTATACGATTTTAACGCCCTATAAGTTCGGACACTTTTTAGCGCGGACCCGACGTAATTGTAAGTCAATGGCGGCAGTACAAGAACCTACTAATAGATCAAAATTTTCCTGAAAATTCATTACGAACCGAGTACGCAACATTTTTTATAACCAGGTAGATATGTACAAAGAATGATGAATGATTCTCACCAGACTTTGAATGCTTGGCATACACACACAGGCATAGACTTCGACTCCGAGAGTTCTTGACTCCGAGTGTAATATTCCGACTTGGCAGGCGCCCAACTCGACGCGGCTTTATATCCAAGAAACTAAGTTAACCTAAGTTAGTGATATAATTGTTGTTAGTGTACTTAAGTTACGACGTTTGCTTGACAAATCACAAGTGTACTTAAGT